CACCCACATATTTTTTAGGTCACAATTTTGCATGATATTTGATAGATGCAAGCATCGGATGTAATATGTTGTCTTCTGGTGCTATTTAATAAACTACGGATAGTCCTAGTAGGTAATATAGTAGTTCTAATTTTTAATGCATTTAGATTATGAGAGATACGTTCGGTCAAATGGTTATTTGGTAAAAAGATGCGACCAAACGAAATATTATCAGAGGTAGCTGAAATTGTATCTTTCATTGATCTAGTTGTAGTGGCATTTGAGGTGTCATTTTGCGCTGATGAGTGAATTTTCAACGCTTTATTTTTAGCTCTCTGTAATAATTGTCTCGGATACGAAAGATTTGAAAAGGTATCCTCAATATATGTAAATTCATCATTTAAATATTTTGATGAACAGATGCGAAGAGCCCTCAAATAGAATCCAATAACAATACCCTCTTAGTGTTAGTATCATGGTGAGAGTAAAAATGTAAATAGTCATTTTTACATGTAGGTTTACGATATACTTTGAATTCTAATTTATTTTTATTTTTTTAATGAGTAATATGTCTAAAAAAGGTAAGGAATTATTAGATTCAAGTTCATAGGTAAATTCTATAGTAGGTTCTATTCTATTTAATCTATCAGTAATCTCGTTTAAATCATGCTTATGTGGGTAGATAAATAAAATGTCATCGATGTATCGAAAGTAATGTGTATCAGGTGGAATGACATCTTTAAAAGGTCCAGATTCAAGAAATTCTAGAAATATGCATGCTAGGAATCCAGAGAGAGGACTCCCCATCGGTAAACCAAATTTTTGTTTATAATAAATATTATTATATTGGAAGAAACAATGTGAAGTGCAAAGGATGCATAATTTGATGCATTTCGAGATAGAGATAGGTAGCTTAAAGTCAATTTTTCTTAAGGTGGTTCTCTAATTGTTTAATGCATTTATCAACAGGTATATTAGTATATAAAGATTTGATGTCTAAGCTAGCTAGTAATTTGTTATCTATATCAATATTTCTCAACTTATTTAAAAAGAGAGCCTGAATTCTTTTATATGTGCGTTACTTACGGTGCCCAGAATTGGAGTTAGAAATTTAGTTAAATACCTAGCGATATTATGATATATATATTATATATATATGCAGGAAGTATATTTTTATGTATAAACACACACACACACACACATATATATATATATATATATATATATATATATATATATACATATTTGTGTGTGTTTGCAATAATGGTCGAAGGTACAAGTTCGTACCTGACATCAAAAGACAGCAGGGAACTCATCAAAACTTTAAACATACATACTTTATACGTTGTATTTAACAAAACCAGTTTAAATGGAACATTAGTACTGAAATACACTCTGACACACACACGCAAGCACGCATACACACTCACACACACACACGCGCACACACACACACACACACACACACACACACACACACACATATATATATATATATATATATATATATACTGGAAGCATGGCCATACAACAATCGCTATCACTTGACTTAAAATATTTTTGCCCTTATTTGCCTTTAAAGGAGTGCCCTTTGCCGTGCTGATGTTGCTACATGCCTTATTTCTTGCCTATCTCACACTGCGAATTTTTTTCTAAGCTCTATACTAAATATTAAATCTGTTACGTAAAAAGAACTAAACAAAATGAATACTAAACGATCAGCTTAAAAAAAAAAGGACTCGTAACTGGAAAAACCGAATGAAAAAAGAATGTTAACAACAAATACTTTTTCACACCCAACCCAGTTCTGCGGAATCAGAATCAACGTTGAGTTTAAGCAAGCGAATGAGCCAATTGGAGTAAAGTGCCATGCAGATTTAAATTTTTCCCACTTGTGACGAATGCAGCTATCGATTTTTTTTTGCATGCTAGCATGCTAGTTAACATTCGTGTCAGTCAGCTGTTGGCTCTCACGCTAGCCAGTAGAATCTTCCTGTCTATTTATGGCAGCCAGCTATTAGCTCTCAGTCTGGCCAGTAGAAAATGGCCGCAAACTACATGAAAACTGCCGTAGAAGCATGAAAAAATAGATTATTTCAACTATTGATGGGAGTTGGTAAATGCAAAGTCGGTCTTGGCCTTTCTACTAACTTGGAGCATGTGCATGTAAATTCTGGTTCAAATCCGTCGAAAATTGCGGCCGTGCATTCATTACACACACACACACATCCTGCCTTTTATAGATAGAGATATATATTGTGTGTATTTAGGCAGCATTTTTTCATTCATCACTGTCTTGTCCGTATATTGCTTAATATATTGTACAGTAATTGACATCTTTGATAATGGCTTATGTAAGCTGAAAGCTTAGATTGGTTTAAAAAATATGGAACAAAATTGTGGTTTTCTTTATTCGTTTAATGATAATGTAATTAAGCTTATCTGACGTTATGAAAAGAATTTACATAAAATAAATTGACAACACTTGTCTATATTATTTAATGAAATATATATATATATA